TTATTAAGAGTTAATATCATGAAAAACCTTAAAATAATACATTTATGAAATATTTATCCTAAATTAATTTTTTGACCACAAAAAACCCCAAACTGGTGCACATGTGATAAATTTATCCCAAAATAATTTTTTGATCACCAAAAACCCCAAATTGGTGCACTTGTGATAAATTTACATTCCATTAAATTAAATTAATACCACACAAAAACACAAACTGCACATTTGTCCGTTAAAACGCCAAACCGGTACACCCATTCACTACAACGTGTCATCCAATCTCAGTTTTTGACGAGCAAATTTGACGGAAACTAACGGAGCGTAAAATTGTTATAGATGTATCGATTTGGGATTTTTTTGGTAGTCAAAAATAAGTTTGCAGTAAATTTGTCACACGCAGATTTGCCAGAGTTTTTCTTGGATATTAAGCGTCACAGATTACAGTAATCTCTTCAGGTTCGAGCAATCAGCATTCTTTGTCGAAACGATTCTTTTCGATTCCTCGCGCCCTAACCCATTCGAGCATTTTACAAGGCGCTTTGAATCCACCCAGCATTTCATTCCCGAAATAGAAAGCAACGTAAACGCTGCGTTTAAGATAAAATTTCTTTTTTATTAATAATATTTTAATAACATTTTAAATATTTAAATATTTCTTCTCTTTCTTTTTTTTTCTTCTTCCTCCTTCTTGGCCAGCGGCCGGTAAAATATTTTTTAATTAATAATACTTTTTATTAAAAATAATTTTTTTATTTTTTTTTGGTTGAAGTATGAAAAAATTTTTCTTATAAATAATTTTTTATTAATAATTTTAAAAAAAAAAAAATATTTTACTAAAAAATATTTTTATTGAAAATATTTTTTTTCTTTGTTTTTTCGCCATACGCTCTCTGGCCATGTTGAAGCAATACTGCAAATTTTTTTATAAATTTTTTTTTATTATATACTTCATATTTTTATAAAAATATTTTTATTGAAAATATTTTTTATTTTTTTCGCTACTTGCCATGGGCTTCTGGCTTCCGGGCCATGGCTTGAAAAATATTTTTTTATAAATAATTTTTTTATTAATAATTTTTTTATAAAAATATTTTTTATTGAAAATATTTTTTTTTATTTTTTCGCCATTTACGGTCACGTCATGGGCCATACTTCGTAAATTTTTTTAGTAATAATATTTTTTTTTACTTTTTTTTTGCCATGGTTCTGGTCGTTGGCCCCTTTTTTTTAGTAATAATATTTTTTTACTTTTTTTTTTTGCTATGGCTCGTAAGAATTTTTTTATTAATAATATTTTTTTATTTTTTTCTCCATGGTTTGAAGTGGCTATGGTCGGTAAATTTTTTTTTATTAATAATATTTTTTATTAAAATATTTTAATCTCACTGATAATGGCACAGGGTTACTGCGCACTGATACATACATTTTTTCTATTATAAAAACAAGAAAAAAGTTGTGCCAAGCAAAAATCGATTCTCATTTTTGCTTTCTAAATCAAGAATCTACTTTTTTTTATTCTCGATTCGTTTCCGCAATCTTATTCGGGGCACAAATTTGCAAAAGAATTTGTGCCTAGAATAAAAAATTAAACAAATTGGATTTCTATTCCCTAAACCGATTCTCGGGAACAAAAAAATTAGATCAAACACTATTTGGCAAAGCTCGCTCATGCCAAGCAATTTCCTAACTATGATAATTTGTTCATTTTTTTCCTTACATATTTTTCTTCTTTTCTTTGTTCAAATTCTTCTTTGTTCTTCGTCTCCCCGGTTCCCTGGTTTCAACTGAAGCTAACTATTTTTCCTTTAAAAAGAAAGAAAACGGAAAAATCACACCAGCATATATTTTGCGAAAAGAGAATGTCACGTTCCCTCCCCCAGGTTCTCTTCCTCCATGCATGCTTTGACCTTTCTTCTCCGATCTACAGCGACAGACGTGTTCTCTTTAGTCTTCAGAAATTGAAAAAGAAAACGAGCAGCAAATGAAAGGAAGCAAGCGCAACGACTGCGAACGCTTCAAATGAGGTTTGACCGAACGTGCATATCTTCGAGCACGTCCATTTCATACCCACTTCAATGGCCTTCCAAGCTCCTAGCCTCGTCGTACCGGACTCACTCTTCCTTTGGGAAATCACACCAGCTTGATCCCCGAGCCCAAGCCGCCACTGTCGATCCCCCCGTCGAGCTCGTGTGGTTTGATGAAGAAACGGCCAGCGTTCGGGGGGGTGGGTGGGAAAGAAGACCAGAGAGTTGAGAGAAACATGTGAAGTGCATGGCTAATTCAATGAGGAAGGTTTGGTAAGGGGACCGGAGCAGGCTACCACGAGAGAAAATATTTTCTTTCTATGAGAGATTCGACTCTGGACTATTATATGTCCGAGGTCCAATATCGAAATAACCTCATAGGGGAGGTCCAATATTGAAATAACCTTAGAGGGATTTTCCTTGACTTTGCCCGTGTCGAAAAACAATTCAAAATGCCTCGACTTTTCTAGGGTTGAATAAAAGGAACCGGTTGGACCGGTTGGTTCTGAGAGTTTCTCAGGAGCATCGGCTCAAATTGGAATCAGGGTTTCCGCCCAGGTGTGGAACCGCCCATCCAAACTATCCAGAGAGGAACGACTTTTTTTTAATTTTTTATTTCTTAAAACTATATAAAGAAAAAAACCTACTCTATCTCCCATTTCGAAAAGGAAGGTCTATGGGCGTGAGTTAGGGGTGTCAAAATCAAACACAATACCCGAACCGAAACACGAACCGACCCGACCTGAACACGAAATTTTCTTATTGGGTCGGGTTGGGTCTCAACTTGGTAACAATAAAGATAATTGGGTATTGTTTTGTATTTATTGGGCTCGGGTACTCAAGTCCAACCCAAACAAGGAAACCATTTAGATCTCTCTTCCACGTCTCTCTCACTCTCTCGCTTCTTCTGCGTCTCTCTCTGCGATTTCGAGTCCTCCATCCAGGGCTTCCGCAGCCTCGCCGAAGGCAAGACCATCGAGTTCCCGATCGAGTCCGACCCGCAACCGCACCGGCGACATGGCCAACGTCAATGCTGCGGGGGGCGCCCCCTCCCCCGCGCGGAGCAAGCCGGCCGGCGGAGAGGCCGGGGGCGGCTTGCTCGGGTCGCGCGTGGCCCGCCCTCCCGCGCCCGATAGGGCTCCCGCTCCTTCCTCGTCGAGGTCGCCGCGAATCCCCCGCGCCGAGGACTTAGCCGATGGGTTGTCGGAACCGTGCTCGTATCGGAGGTGATTTTTGTTTTTTTGGGCTTTTCGATTTTCTTTTCGTTGCTCGTTTGGTTGCCCGAGACGTGTCTTTGTATCCGGACATGATGGCGATCTTCTTTTGCTACTGGATTATTACTGGAGAGTGTTAGGAGCGTGATGCGTTGTGTATTGGATTTCTGCTGTGTGTTCGTTCAGATATGCCTCTGGAATTGTAGATCTTCTACTTCTTAAAATAGAGCATGAGTGAACATATAATTGAATGCATAGGAGCAAGATAATGGGGAGTTGGGATGGATGAGAAAAGGTTCGTTTGGCTGAGTTTGAAACACGGAACCCGACCCGGATCGACCTGACCCGATCACTTAGCTATATCTTGTTCGGGTCTTGTCTCGGGTCGGGCCGAGCACACCTGTCTAGTATTTTGGGTCGGGTCGGGTATCATGTAAACCCGACCCATTGACACCCCTAGCGTGAGTGATATGATAAGAACAAATTAAAATACAATAGTAGTTACTCATTTCAACCAAATTTTGCCACAAATTGAAAAAATCTTCGTGAAACCTATAATGTTACACGTAGCTCACTAATTGTAAAAACGTTTTGATTATCAAGAATATCTTCAACTTAATCTTGAATATTAACGACAAATCAAAAAAAAAAAATCGAATATGCCGCTGGTTCTATTGGCCCATTTAGGAACCCGTCGAATTCCCGATTCCAGAAATTGGGAACCGGTCTCCCTGGTCCGGACTCCGATTCTTGTTTTCTGAGCAAGAACCAGATCACCTCGAAACCGATTACTCTTAACTCTTTTTCAGAACCGGTCGAAGGAAGAAAGAAGAGGAAGGACAGAAAGGAACAAAAATAAAAGAGGAAAGAAAAAACAGAAGAAGCTCCGGACGAAAATGCCCCCCCAATCACAACTCGAGTCGAGAAGGTGTCATGTGCTCACCTAATATCCCCTCGAGACTACATCGAGGCCCCCCTCAATTGGAAGCAAAATCCGCTTCGAAACCTCTTTCGGGAAAGAAAGGATCACATTTTCGAGCCCCAATTGAAAGCCCTTCCCAAAAGAAAAAATCCGATGGCACCCTGGCGTCCTTACCCCCAAAACAGATCGATGTCCTTAACCCCCAAAATAATTGAAGGTCCTGCCCAAAAGTCGAAGCAATTTCCTCAAAATGCCATTTTTTCACCCCCGGCATTACTTCCCCCTATATTAGGAGAAGAGAGGAAGAAAAAAACAAAGAGGCTAAAAAGGCCTAAAAGGAAGAGCAAAAGCGACAAAGCTTAAAAAAAGGCGGTCCGTACCATTCACGTGGCGTATGTATGGGATCCACCGTGTCGCCACTCTCTCTCTCTCTCATCAGCGCCTATCCTCCTTCGCCTCCTCCACCTCCTCCTGCCCTTCCTCTTCCTCGTCGTCCTCCCAGCTTGAGACATGGTGGTTTCTCTCTCTCTCTCCTCTCTCTTCTCTCTCCCCTTCTTCACCAACCATTCCTCTCTCTCTCTCTCTATCCATCACTTTCTCTCTCTAGAGATGTGAATTGAAACCCTGCTCGCGCGCGACGTGTCCGCGGCCATGGCGTCCGTGCGCGTATATATACGTGCCGCGCGCGGTGTCGTTGGAGCGAGCGACGCCTCCACCCGCACGGACCAGCCGTGACCGCCGCCCGTACATCTCTCCGCTCCGCCTCCCGAATCCGCGGATCTCCCCCTCTCTCTCTCTCTCACACACACGTTCGTTCTGGTTGGGTTGTCTTCTGACCAGCTTTTGTTTTTTCTGGTTTTTTGTTTCGGTCCGGGTCGGGTTTTGGTTCGGGGGCCTCCAGAGATGCCGACTGCGATTCGGGCACCCGGCGCGTGCGTGTACGGGGCATCGGGGCCGCGGGCGAGGACGGAGGGCCTAGGGATCGCGAGCTGCCGCCCCGGGCCGAGCGCCGCGCGGTTCGGGCGGGGGTCGCGTCTCCGGCTCGGCGGGAGGCCGGTTCCCCTGGCGCCGGTTGGAGCGATGGAGCCGCCGACGCAGAGCAGGGCGGCTTACGTGAACAGCAAAGCTGATGGCGCTGAAGGTATTGATTGATTGGGGGGGTGCGTTTTCGATTTTCGTGGCGGGATTTGACGTCTGATTTTTTGGTGTTTCTTCTTTTTGTCCCCAAATGGAAAACAAAAGCTTCGCGATCGCGAGGAGAAGCGGGGACTATCGTGCGGTGCTTGTCTGTTTGTTTTCGGTGCTCGTGTGGATGGGGGGGTTTTCGCGTGCATTTTGCGAATTGGCGCGTTACCGACGCGAATCTGGCGAAAAGATGTTCGAGATTTTGAATGTGAGAAGAGGGTGTGAGGTACATGCATGTTTCCTGTGGAATGTTTGGTTGAAAATGCTGACCAAACCAAGTTTGACGGTCTCTCCCACGTCTCTGTCTCCGGGCCAAAATGTCGGCTCTCTGGAGCCGCGGCTTTTATTTGAACAAAAAGAAGAAGATGCCTTTGCTGTTGGTTTAGCTTTTGCACGTCCTGTGCAGCCATTGCGCTTTACAGGCTAGGAACTTTGTGTACAGTACAGCGGCTCTTATTCGAGTTATCGTAAAATGTATGTCAATCATCCTGAATGGACCGCTGCGTGGAGGAATTTTGATTCCTTGAACCTGCTTTTACCGGGCAGGGGCATTTGTAGCTCGAAATGCCATCGACTTTTCGATCTGAATTAATTGGAAATTCGAGGAAACTTTATGCTTGTTGAAAATCTGGCCTCTATACTTCTCTTTTTGACTGCATAAGCCGTGAGATTCTCATTTTGACTATCTAACTAGGTGAAAATCTCCACCAGATATCTACTGTTGGAAACTCAACAAACATCAAGTGGCACAGTTGTTCGGTTGATAAACTTGACAGGCAGGAGTTGCTTCAGCAAAAGGGCTGTGTCATATGGATCACAGGGCTCAGTGGTTCAGGTTTGTCTATTCAGGAGCTTGCATCTTATGTGGCGAAGCAACCTTTTTTTTTTACCCATTTTTATGGGCTAGTATTGGAGTTGCCTGCTTAGATAATGTAGAATTCATGCTAATTTTTTTATTCTTGTGCCGTGAATATCCTAGACATATGTATTTTCAAACCCGCAGTTATTCATTGTTAGCTGTGCTACTGTATGGTTCTGTATACTGCATCACATGTTGACTGGTAGTGCTATTCAACAAATAGGTCTTAATCCTTGTCTTAGTTACATAATGTATTTCCAAGTCTACCATTATAAGTTAGTGAAAAGCCTATTAGAAAAAAAAAACATCTTTGTAAGTTTTGTTCAGAACAAATAAATAGAAAAGGTGGACTGGCCAAATGTAAGAGGATTGTATATAGCATAGAGGTCCTCATCAGGCCTATGGAGGCTAAAGCGCTATAAGTATACACTTCATGAGATCGTTTTGTTCTTAAGTTTTTGGGCTGGAATATGATGTTCTGTGACTCTCGGATGATTTTCCGAATTGTTAGTCCAATCATCAATATTTAGAAGGATGAAGAAATGGTGAGGATAGTGACTATAAAGTTTCTCGTGGGCGCTGTTAAGTGTCTATCTGAATTGCTTGCCGGGATGTTCGGGTTTGGATGGTTGATCCATTTTGATGATGTACTTTCTCTAAAGAGGTTTCTTATTCTCGGAAGTAGGGGCAATCTTTGTAAATGTTCCGGCATAAAATACTCAAGCGATCCATCTGGATTGTGATGCGCTATTTTGATGTTTTCCCCTTTTTTGTGACTGTTGTATTCGCTGGTTGGTCATTTCATTTATTCCAGATGAATGGCCCTTTCCTTCGTGTGATTTCGGTAAACCACTTGAAAGTCCTAAATAGTTCACTATCAACTTCAACTTTGTTGCCATCTTCATTCTCTCTCTCTCGCTCTCTCGCTCCCTCGTATTTATATATCTATGAATTTAACAGGGAAGAGCACACTAGCTTGTGCTTTAAGTCGGGGCCTGCATTCAAGAGGAAAGCTGACCTATATCCTCGATGGTGACAATGTTCGTCATGGTTTGAACAGTGATCTGAGTTTTAGGGCAGAAGATCGTGCGGAAAACATTCGAAGGATTGGTGAGCATTTAGGGATGCGAGTTTTTCCTTGTAGTGACCAAGTTCATCTTTGTTTTGGTGCCATTGAACTTAATAAATACGTGATTTTCAGGCGAAGTAGCCAAGCTCTTTGCAGATGCAGGGGTGATTTGCATTGCTAGTCTGATATCCCCATATAGAAAAGATAGGTCAGCTTGCCGTGCCATGCTGCCAGAAGGTGATTTCGTTGAGGTAGGTGGTCCTCGACAGTTGGAGTCTCTGCCTGACATATTGTAACTAGTGAGATCAAAGAAGCTGATTCCAGAGCCAGATAATCGGTTCTTTTTTTGTGAGGGAAAAAATGACCAGGGAACCTCACATATGGCAGGTCTTCATGGATGTGCCACTCCAAGTTTGTGAGTCAAGGGATCCCAAGGGTTTGTACAAGCTAGCACGAGCTGGAAAAATTAAAGGTATCTGTGCAGGAGTGTGATTGGAGAGTGTCTTCTGATTGCTTGATATTGTCTTTCACATTCTTTCTATGTTCTGGTAATATCTTCCTGGTGTGAAATGAAGTTCGTTTTTGAAGAATACTAGAAGTAGTTGAGATGACATGGAACCTTTTAGTACTTCTTTGGATGCAGGAATGCTGCTTTGATACTTCATGATTTAGCTCTATCAACTTTTTTATGTTGTCTACGAATGTTTTCTCTCTGATTAATTTGAATCAAAGTCATCTTTCTGAACTACTGGAGTTGTCGAACACAGTGAAGATAGAAATCTATGGTGGTTAATTCCTGCATTACTGAAGGTGGTAAAAGAAAATGCTGGTAAACTATCTTGGTTTCTGTATTATAACTTACTTTCCCTTCAAATGCTTTTTGATTGATGACGACTCACATAAGCTTGATGAAAAAGGACGTGAAGGTGTTGGTGAAATATTTTTAAAAGAAAAAAGTTAACAAGAGCACTCTGAGTGAGAAGTGCTCAAACCTTAGCAGAAGCAAATGGCCTGGACTGAATTTTGTACTGTCTTGAGTTCTCATGATGAATATCTGGCATCGTTTTGGGACGACGCTGAAGTTGATCATTGACATTTTGTCGTTTGGTCAGTTATGTAAATTTCTGAACAGCGCATAAAAACTTGAATTAGTTATCACCGGTGTCATTTTCTGTTCCTGCTAGTGGATTGTAATTAGTGGTTGCTGGGTGTATGATTTTGCAGGTTTTACAGGAATTGATGATCCATACGAACCTCCACTAGATTGTGAGGTAAGTCTTGTTTAAATTTCGAAATCTATTAGATTGTCGGATGAAATAGAGAGGTATACTTGGAAGCTAAAATAAGGAAAGTAAGGTCGAGGCTGCATATGTCCTTTTCTTTGTGTTCGGGCCCATGCAGTTATCGCCCGGCGCCTTTGCATAAAATGAAAAAGAAAGCATCCTCTGCATCTTCTCTGACACTAAGTGACAACGCTAGAAACTGAAAGAAACTGTTGCATGTTGCAGATAGTGTTGCAACAGAAGGGATCCGAATGTGCTTCCCCTTATGAGATGGCTGAAGAAGTCATCTGCTTCCTGGAGGGGAAAGGGTACCTCAGGGCCTAGTGCGGCGAAGTGGCCCTGGGCTTCTCTCGTCCGAAGCCTTTCTACTGCTAATACCCTTCGTGCCGCTGAAACTGGCGACCCAGCCTCTTGCATTAAGGAAACTCCTCGTTTCCAGTGTGGATTTGTTCCGGTCGTAGATTAAGTGTTGATTAATTTATTAAGTTGTTCATTGTTGTTGTAGCTTAGAAAATTCAGGCTGCGATAAATAATAATGGAACGGTTGGTCTGGGGCTGGGTTGCATATGAGAGGAATGTGTATTATAATGACAAATGATTGTCTTCATTGCTTCTATTAGTTATTAACTTTATTGTGGAATAAAAACTTTGTCATGTTTCGAAGTTTTGTGGAGCGTGTTTTGGTGTATGTTATTACATCGATCTAGAATACGTGTTATTTTAGCAGGATTATTTCCCAGGTGCCACCGCCGATTGGGCCCCGTCTTTAAAGGGGGTCGACGACCTTCATGACGCCGTACCCTGAGGAGCCTCATGATAGTTAAAGTTTAAGGCTCCGTTTATCTCGCGAAAAATACATGATTTGAAAAATATTTTTCTTAAAAATGATCGTTTGAAATAATTAGTCAATGATAAATGTTTCCGTCAACAGTGGAAGGTGGTGCCGACATGGCTCCTAGATGCCCAACTTAGTTAGGAACGTCAAGATTAGATGGAATAGAGGGGTTTCCCGGAAGAAAAAGGCACACGCATTCATAGGAAAAGGAAAATTGTAGTCTAGTTCCCTTTTAATACTGCCGGGACGAAAAACGAGGAATGAATTCCAGCAATCCCCTACGTTAGGTTACGAGGTCATTGAAAATTTGATCAGAATGGCCTCGAATAAAAGCAAGGAGTGAACTGACCATCCCAGATGTAGTCGAGCATGGCCGGAGAGAAATCGATGTCGGCGATGGCGACGGTGAAGATAGCAGCGGCGGACATGCCGACCAAGTGCAAACCAAGGAAGAAGACGAAGGAGGAAGGAGATAACAAACGAAAAAGAAAGAAAGATTAAAACACAATGAGTTGGCATATTTGTGTCACGTCGACGCCATGTCAGTATTGTTTGTCTTCCGTCGTCCATATAGGCAGTCACATAAGATTTTTAATAGTGCCCATTGACGGAAGGTAACGTATTGGGGTTTTTTGGTGTAAAAAAAGAAGTTTGGGTAAATGTGTTACAGTGAAAAAAATTTGAGATTGTTTGAGGTGAGTATATGTGCCATAGTGAGCCTAATTTGGAATAATGTGTTATAGTGGACATTATTGGAGATAAGCCAAGGAGGAAGAGAGAGAAACCATTGCGAACATCAGCAATCTCTCTCCTCTAGTTTGATTTTTTTTTTCTTTTTTTGGCTTTTCTACCTTATCCTTTTTATTTTTAATCTTTTATCTAGATTTTGTTTTGTACAAGAATACCCTATTTCAGCCAATGGAAAAACCGAGTGCTTGTTAGCCGGCGAAAATTTGGCCAACTGGCAAGTTCAGGCCCTTAATGGAGACTGACTTGGTAATTTTATACCCTTATTTGAAACTAGATTCACTCCGAAATCTATTTTGAGAAAATGGCCCTACTTGATATCCTTATTTGAAATTTTCTCAAGACAAATTTTTAAATTTTGCTGTGAAATTGAAAAAGTGCTTTTTTGCTATCGACTAATGCCAAACAAGCAAAAGCCCATATCGAAGGACTCCAATGCATTTGACTTTGAAATAAATGTTTGATGTCAGGGGGTAATTTTATGCTGCTGTGGCCCATGTATGGTTTTTTATAACTTTTTTATACTAAAAATTAGAAAAAATTAATAAAAGCTACTAATCACATAAGCTTTTCACTTTCTTATATTAACAGTCATTAGCATATTGAATATTACTTCGATGTATATATACATACTACTAATCACATGAATACAAGGAGCAAGTGGAAATTTACTAACTACATTATACAATTTTTTTTTGAATTGAAAGTTACGAAAAATAATGAAATTTACTTCGAGTTTTCAATACTACTGGTAAAAGAAAAATTACTAATCATACAATATTTGTTACTTTTCCAATATTAAAAGTTGCTTCGACATATATGAAGATCACTAATCACATTTCAATATTACAATCTAATGAGAGTCGCTAAATTTAATAAAAATTGCTTAGATTAATAGAAAATTACTAATCACCTATCAATATCACTAGTAATGAAAAATTACTAACCACATAAAATTCGTTACTTTTCGAATTTCAAAGTTATGGAGAATATAATGAAAATGACTAATTACATGTGAATCTTAACAATATATATATATATATATATATAAAGTTACTAACTATACATGATGATACTGAACTTTTCTATATTGAAAGTTATTAAGCACGCTAAAAGTGACTTATCAATAACACTGGAAAATGGTAAGTTACCTACCTCATAGAGTTTATTTCTTTTTATTTTTAAGAGTTATTAAGCATATTTAAAATTACTTTGATGTATATGAAAATGACTAAAAGCATATGACTATTACGAGTAAATGAAATGTTACTAGCTACATAAAATATAATACTTCTCTATAGCAAATTAATATCCGAAGTCCAAGCTCCAAATTAAGCAATCACAAAGTAATTAGTAACTCTAAAATACTTCTAGTAACTTTTCATTTAGAAAAGTAAGTTTCCATACATAATAAAAAGTAACTTCTCCATATTTGTTAGTAACTTTCCTAACAAATAAAGTAAGTTTGCTTTTATGAGCGACTGATAACTTACTTGACTTTTTAGTAATTTCAAAATGGATAATGACATAAACAGTTCTTAAATTTTTGTTCAATGTGTAACGTGATCTCTGAACTTTTAATTTGTTCAATGTAATCCTTGAACTCTAGCTAATGTTCAATGTAGTCCTTGACCTTTTAATTTGTTCAATATGGTCATTGGACTTTTGGTACATGTTCAATTTAGTCCCTAAACAATATAAAAATATTCAATGTAGTTTTTTATTAATTCAAGTTCAAGGACTACATTGAATATTTTTATATTGTTTAGGGACTAAATTGAACATATACTAAAAGTTTATGGACGGTATTATACAAATTAAAAGCTCAGGGACCACATTGCACATTAGATTAAAGTTTAGGGACCACACTGGACAAATTAAAAGTTTAGGGATCACATTGCACATTGGGTCAAAGTTCAGGGACTGTTTGTGTCATTTTTCCATTTCAAAACTTACAAAATAATGTAAAATCTCCGGAATTGGTTAGTAACTTGTGAACATCTCAAGTACTTTAGAATATTTAATAACTTTCCCGTGTTGATTTGTAATAACTAAATTGTAAATGTAAGTTTCTTCTTTTTATTAGTTTGGTAAATATTTAGTAATTCTTGAAGTAATTTGTGGCTACTAATAAGGCTCTCTAGTGTTAAGTAATTTCTCAACATTAGATGTGATTTTTATAGAATCAATTTCTAGTAATTTCCAATCGCAAAGTTACTAATTTCTAGTAGAGTTCAATTCGCTTCTTTGGAAATGAACAGTGAGATGTCTCGAATATGAGTATCCATACAAAAATAGCTCATGCGAACTTAGAATTTGCCTATGTCGGTCTATTTGGTCGAAATGCTTTTTATGAATCAATCGAGTGCTCGCAAATACCGCGTTTCAAAAGAACCAGAACGGATGTACGCATTTGTAAAGACGGAAACACTCGATTGATTGGGTGACTGGGCGAACGTGAAAGCGAGGATAACATAATGAAAGATTCGGACAATGCAGCTATTGGTTGAAAGGTCAAATTGAGTTTGGGGTCACTCATGGAGGTGCAATCATGTCCAGGGGGAACAGAGTTAGGCAGGGCTCATAACAAGATTTGGGTCCCCATTCCCTCCAGCCTAATCGATTGGCTTCTTGAATTTCGACTAAAGCTTTATCCTCCTTTCTCTATCTATTTGGCTATTGCCTTTTGCTTGGTTCCGCAGACCAGACATAGCTTTATTTGCTCATTCATTGATGATGGGTAACCTTAAAACTTGTGGGATGTATGGAGAAAGTGGTGTTAAAGGATGATGTAGAGCCAAAAGTGATGAAGTTAGTTCATCTGCTCATCATAAATTGACAAGTAGAATCTGCAGGTTATGTGTAACCAAATGATGCTGAAGCTGCAAAACATGAATGCAGACATTTCAATAAATCCATTTTAGCAGATTTCTATGTACAAAGCCCATGATTGCTGCAGGAAACAGGGAGAGAGAGACACGTAGTAGAGCACACAGTAGTGAAGCGAGTGACTGAGACCACAAGACAATGCACTCGCTCGTTGCATTCGTCTGATTTCTGAAAAGCAAATTCAAAATGGGAAAATGGAAAAGGAACCAAAGAGCATTGAATGGATGAGGAGATCAAGAAGAAGAAGAAGAGAGTCAAATCCAAGCAAGGCCAAGACCACCTCTACGATGCCCGTGGACGCCGGACAAGAAGCAGACCAGGAACGCCATGCCCAGCGACATCGCGGCGGAGCTCACCGCATGGAACGTCGCCGAGAGCCGCCAGTCCTGCAGCCCCCAGATGGCCCTCACCAGTGTCCCCAACCCATCCACGACCACCGCGATCATCACCGCCATTCCCGCTTTTCTTGCGAGCCCTTCCGTCGGGAGAGGAAGAAGAAGAAGAGGGTGGTCTAGCTTATTCCGAGAGGCGAGCACCGGGGAGGGCGAGCTTGGTAGTTTCAGCTTCCAAGCAAAGTTAAGGCCTTAAGGAGTGAGAAGAAGAAGACGAAGGAGATGGAGTGATGTACCGTTAGAAAGGGCCGTCGCTTCCACGTTGCTTCCTCTCTCTCTCTCTCTCTTGACGATGATGACGAATGGGCCCGGGACAATAGCTTGTTATGGCATGGGACCGGAAGGAATGGAATGAACAATTGATTTCGAGTATTACGGTACTCTGTTTGTGACTCCTAAATGATATCATGTGCATGTATCTGCGATGATTGTCCCAATATACTAATAATTTTTCTCAATATGTACGGTTGTCAACGATCATGGCACCCCATAAGACGGAAAAAAACTCTTACCTCGAGATAAAGGCAGATCCCATGTTACTTCGACAAAGATGGGTTTTGGGCCGATGCGTTGCTTTTAGTGTTGTAGACTAGAATTCGACCGAGGTAATGTCGCGCACATTGATTGTCTATACCATATAGTGAAACATTGCCACTTGAACGTAGATTATCCGTATTCTCTGTGATGTTGTGTCCCGATTTTAATGAATGAACTAACTCCTGTGCGCGCTGGTTTAGAAAATGGAAACCTAAACCATTTTTTCCCCTTGTTTGCCGCGAGCGAGGCTAAGACATCTTTAGATGCCAGACCACCTCGCATCAATAAACCAAGTCACACATTGAGTTGGTCCATATAACATAGAGGTCACAGTACTCCTAACTCCTTCCAGGATGCCTATGCAAAACAAAGGGCAAAGGAGAAAAGGAAAAATAAACAAATAAAGCCAACCATGACAAGAAACTAGGAAATTTCAGACTTCTCCGAGTTGCTTGCTTAACTGATTGAAATATTCATGAAAAAACAACATTCATCTGTAAAGATATACTCGGTGAAATATGCACATCGCCTGAACGTATAAAAAGAAGAAACTACACTGACAATGCTGTCCGCTCAGCGCGTTACCACCATTAGCTCCAAACCAGAAACTGCTCTAGCCTCCAGCCACAAAGATATGTAAGCCAATGAAAGAATGATCAAGAAGATGGACGACATACACAGATCCTTTTTTTTCCTCGTGAAAAACACCCTTACTTCGTTGATGAACTCGATCCGTTAGGCAGCCTCCACTTCCTATGCCAATAGATCGACATCCTGGACCATGAAGGAAACCCAAAACTGTACTCAAGGGGTCCATCCACTGGACCCCCGACAAGCAAAGGAAGCCATACGTACCTAGAGTCCCTCAAGTCAGCTGGATTCCACCGATCTGCCATGAAGATGAAAGCGCCAGGGTGACCCAGCATTGGAATGACAAATGTACTTTGAGCGAGGAACGTGGTGAGCTGAAACATTTTGTTCCCGCCTATGCATGGATTCCCAATGGTCTCCCAAGGTCCCATAATTGATTCCGCCACATGGGCCATCGCCTCATTCGGGGCCCAACCGGTGCACCCAGACGTGATCATGTAGTAAGTCCCTTCGTACTTAAACAATGCCGGAGCTTCCCGATGCTGTCCCACAAGTATCCTCCTCATGACATGGGCCACATCGAGATAATCCTCGGTGAGGGGTCCGACATGTAGTACGCTATTGTTTTCTGAGGAATACATGACATAAGCTATGCCATCATCGTCTTTGAATATGGTCATGTCCCTACTATCAAACCCATGAGGCCGTTTACTATAGAGATAATCAAAGGGGCCAGTAGGGTAGTCGCTTGTGGCAATACCCACAGAGGCCTTGGTGTAGTTAGCATCGTCAATGTGCATCCACATCACATACTTCCCAGTCTTCTCATTGTAAATCACCTTAGGCCTTTCGAGGACTTTGGACTTGTGAAGATCGTGGGTCTCGTTTGTTTCTTTAGCTGCCAGAACAATCCCTTCTTTTTTCCACGTCCATAAGTCCTTGGATGAGTAACATCCGACTCCTATCACATCGACCTGAATTTAACCCAAAGTTGAGACCTAAGATAAACTTTATACAATTATCTAGCAGGAGCACACTAAAGACCGAACAAAGTAATTACATGGTACAACAGGACAACGATACTATGCATAATGGATATGAGCTTGAAAAGCAAAATATCGAAGGAAAATAACATGGATGTTCAACCACATGCTTGATACATACTGCACATCGACCAAAAAGTGCAATTTAAGGCTGCTGTGAGGTGTGAGAGGAACAAATAGATTTTTAGAAAGGTGAAATCGTCATTTTCACTGATCGAGATTATGGAGAACCCAACAACTGTTGTCAGGCTATCCTTCGATATTCTGTTTCCAGCAGAAGCACTAATCTTTAACATTCATTATTGCACATGCACGAAAAGCTAACGTAACACAAGAAAACCGCACCTCTGGCAAAGTCGTGTTAAGAAAAGAGAGGATAAAGAATTAAATACAGATTTAGAAAAATATTGACTCAACCGTATCTCACCGGAATTGGGACTTCCATTTCCTGTTCATGAAGAATATTGAAGTCATGGCAGAGTTGATGTGTGACCAAAAAATATTTAAGAGATGACAAATACTCGAGAAACCGCAATGTCCAAAGTCTAGCGGTTTATTTCAACAATTACATGTGAGTATTCACCTATAAACATCATTTTCCCAAATTCCAACATTCCACCAAAAGTAATGAAATGCAACATCTCTTCTCAAAGAAGAATTGGGTGGAGAATTATTAAGGACCAAGATAGTAATCCAACCTTAGGGCTACATTTGACAAGATCATTTTACTTATAAAATGCTTTTGATTAGGTCACTTTACTTTTCAAATGATTTCAAGTGAGATTACTCAAGTCTCCAATATTTTCCCTTCAAATATTGACTGAAAGTTGACATGTCAAATGTGGCGCTTTATCTATGTGCCATGTTGCAAGCCACCATGCTTTCCATCATTTTTTTAACAAGAAAATCAAAAAATAGTTAAGGGGGGAAAAGAAAGAAAAGAAGAAAGTGAAGGAGTTACCCTATTGAAACCAGTATAAAGAAAAATGACCTGATTGATATCTTTAAGTGACAATAACCTTAAGAAAAGTAGTGGGAAAAGTCAAATGACTATGAGGAAATAGGTATAGTTGTGCCATAAAATGGACAGGCAAGCTGTCCAAAAGGCTGGCATATACAGATAAACTTATTGCGGTTGACCAGCAACTTCAGTACAGATGACACTAATGAAAGTTCTTGACATGTGTAGGGGCTTCCATCTGTTGAGCAAGACATCTTCTACATGTGCATTTAGAGTTTGAAGAAAACCATAAGAGAAGTTTGCTGTGAATAGCAGAGCAAAGACACCAAGGTGTCTAAGATTGACCTTTTACATTTTGTTTTTTACTTAATGTGAATTATAGCAAGTACATTTTGATTTTTCTTTTTAAAATCTGAACTCCTGCAACTTTCACAGTATATACAGACTTACCTATAATTTCTTCATAATTTTCTGAAACTAAAATAAAATTTTAAATCTTGGCGGGAGAGCAAAAGAAAAAAAAAACTCTTTTGCATTTTTTTAAATGTAAACAAACAGGCCTTTAAAGAACTCTATGTAAACAGATGGCTTTGGCTCTTTTATCAGAAAATGTTTTGTCAAGAATCTTGGGGTAATAGAGGCAATGTATTCCATTTCCCCCAGTGTTCTTATCTCCCCAAAGTTCATATCCTTCAGCATCACTTCTTTTCCAGGGGAGTGACAAAAGACACTAACACTTCAAGATAAGCAAACACGCCATACAACAAAAATAGGATGTAGCTTATCATGAAATAAGAAAAAAACTCAGAGGATGCATGAAGTTGGCATGAAAAACTCACAGGCTAAGAGAAAAGGGAAGCACTCTGGTTAAGGTATGAGAAATACCCACTAATCATTCTAATTTTCAAGAATCAAACACCCAACTCAGTGCCTCAAGGATGATCGGCTAACAAAAGTAATAACTTACAAGTAGAGAAAATAGCTATGAGTTCAACATTCTGAAACTTACCCTTGCTGCTCCTTTTTTGTGGGCATGGTATGTAGGTCCATCCTTATACTCTCCGTACCAGTAATATGTCCCCGATCTCTCATCATACAGGATCCCACCACCATGAGCCTGAATGGGATTTCCCTCAGTATCTAACCATACTCTACCCGGAAAGTAGTAAAAACTGTCATTTGCTGCACTATTCATTGGATCAATGGCAGTTCTCTTGTCAGGGAAAAAGACATGCCTAATTTGGGATTTCTTATTGAGAAACTCATCAACTATAGGGTGAGTTCTCCTATTCTTTTTTGGGTTCCTAGTGGCATGTGGTGAACGCTTTCCTTTAGGTGGTGGAATTTGAAAATTGTCCTCCTCAACCGTCTCAAGTTCAAGATATATGGGACGGTTACTTGTTCGCAAATAATTTCCTTTGTTTGCGGCATCTTTTTGAAATACTGAGATCAGATGAAGTAGAACAAGACACCCCATGAAGCTCCATACTATAGCGAAGGCTGAACATCTGCTCCCTGCATTGCAATGCAAAGTAGTTGGTTTCCGGTATTTGTTCCTCATCCCCATTTTCTCTTCTGTCTTATCTCCAAATAATGCTGCAAACGAAAAGCATAAAGAGGAAATCTATGGAAATACAGCTAAGTGACAAATCACATGTCATGGCAAAACTGATTCATTAGATGAGTTCCTCTAAGAATGAGATTTCTAACAGAGAAGAGAGTGAAAAGACAATGATCCTGAACTTACTTCATAAGCTAAACTACCATTTAAATTAGTAGTTCATGACCATGCATGCCTTTATAACCGGTTCATGCTAATAATTGGATATGCCAGTATAGAGAAACTTGAAATGAAAATGTGAATATCAAAGAAGCGCATCATCAACTGAAAGACCAAGGTCATTTCCATTCTATGTAAAACTTAACCAGCATAGCCATACGGTCAAATTCAAAGAGCATCTTCAGGTCACAAACCAATTCAAAGAACGCTTCAGCCTTGAAACTCTGAATCAGAAACCAATATGACCCTTAGTCAACGGACCAAGAAACAAGTGCCAGGTTGTTCAAGAATTCCTCACATTTGCATCATGCCAGGACGAGTGCATCTCGCGATCAAAGTTTAAAAACACCAATAAAAAGAGAAGAACAAATGACACAACAAGGAGCAGCAATCTCATCCCAACAACTAAACATGAAAAAGAAAAAGATGGTGCAGATTTATCATTGACCCCAGTCAAAACAAAAGGGGACAAGAACGGAAACCCAAGTCAAAAGCTCCATACCCGAAAGCACCCGCATCGCCTGCGACCCGAAATTCGACATGGGTCTTTTCATGCCGATTCGCTCTCGACTCCGCTGCTCATGGAACGATCAAATCACGGCCAGAAATGCCAAATCTGATGGGAGTTCTCGAGACTCCGGAGAGGTTTTCAAGAGGTGGGCGAAGATGCAACCGACACGGAACGGGGAGAGATCGCTTAAGAACGAGACGAGCGAGAGAGGCCGGTCGTTGGTGAATGGGACGCGCCACCGAACGTCCTTCGTCCAGTGACTATTACAGTCAGCGTGGAGCTCGGGACATGGAGGGAGTTCTTCTTGGGAGGGAGGTGCATCTGCAGAGGGAAGACTATCAAAGTGTGTTCTGCGCATTCATTACGGATGCTTGTCTGCCCTGTTTTTCTTATCATTTGTCTTATTTTTCAACTTTCCTAATTTGGCATTATGAGCACCTAGACAAAGGCTCAAATATACATACACATGTGTGATCAATTTCTCAGTCCATGATTTTTAAGAATAGTGTTAAATATTTTAAATTCGAATTATAAAAATTAATGTACTGATTGTTACTAATATGACCCACTTATCATATCACTTAATTTTATTAATTTCTATGTCAATTTTATCGTCTTATTACATATTGGATCGCTCAATTTCCACATCTTACGTCTTGTTTGCATTGAGCACGTGTTTATCTTCTCCTTCTTCTTCTTTTTTTCATAACATGGCATTGGAATCTTGCGGTCCGATTATTCCCCACGAGTTACACGCAAATCGTTAGTTCACGTGTATTGGGCAAGGCTCCAGTTACGCAATCTATGTTCTAAAGCGCTAATAGGAAAAAGACTGATCGGATTGAGGATTCGAACAAAATGGCATTTAGATGAACGCTCTCTGACCCATTAAGTATTTGCTCGACTCGAGACGAATCCGGGTGCTCTCTACCATATGCGTACATAATAACCACATTATATGATATCTGAGTATAATTGAAATGGATCATGGGCATGATTTTGGTATAGCAACATCATGTAGATTCGATATTATACAACAATAGTGCTGCGAGCTTAGTTTTCACTAGGGGTTTCTTAGAAAAAGTACTCAAAACTCCTGATCAAACCCATATAAAAAGCCAAAACCTTATAGATGCTGGTAAGGATTTAGCTTATTTAAGTACTTAACCACGTTCCATGTTTCCACCATTACCAATTAAATGCCAACACATCCACATTTAGAAGAATCTTATGCTGGTGCAATTGCACGTAGCTTATAATAGACAGAGAAAAGGGGGCCAAAGAAATAGATGTATATTTCATGTTTTGAATTGTATGTACATTTCTCTTCTCTTTGATCAATATGATGTGTGAAGTTATTCCCCATGACATGTACACCTTGCAGTCACCACTGATAAATAAAGAAAAGTCCACAAAAATGAATTAAAAAAGGGTTGTGTCATGTTTTGTTTTGTCCTCTATTTCTAGAAAATTCTTACTACTTATAGACTTAATTATAGGCTTGACGGGTCATGGCTTGCCCAGGCATCGCACGACGGGCGTATTTGAGTGGTCTTGAGCTAGGCCATTTAGTTGTGAAGCCTGCCCAGCCCGGTCCAACAATTTTGTCTTAAATGTTTTTTTGTTACGAGTGGGTTTGGACAACAAGTTAGGCTCGACCTTTGGGCCCGGCTCGGTCCAAACCCACGCATCGGTCGGCTCTACCTAGGAATTGGGAAAAATGGAACACCTAGAGAAGGCTCTTCCCCTATCCTGGCATGCCTTGACCACCCATGCCAACACCAAAACCACCATCACAATTGACAGGGCAAGCATTGATGACCACAACCGGCGTATGGAGGCCCTAAATGGCCTGCACCGGTGCAACACAGCCTCCTCAAACCTGTCCTTCACAAAAGAGCACTCTGACAGGCCCTTGAGATCAGGATATATGTTGATCAGATCCTGGATGGATCGACTGTATGCCCAGGCCATGTAGTAGGTGGACTCTGGCAAGAACTTCCCTTCGCTCTTGCATTTCTCTGGCGGGTTTCCCCGGTAGCATGTGAACGGCGCGAGGACCTGGATCAACAGGACAAGAGAAAAGTTTTTGTGTGTTATGCCTGCGGCAGAAGTCGAGCTCAATCGTGACTTGATTTATCTAACTCTACCAAAGACTAGCACAAATCCTATTGAAAACATGTATGCATTATACTCATAAAGTATGACAAGTGATGGGATTTACTGAGAGTCGTCGAATGCTTTGGACGTGTTGTCGACAATTAACCAGCTAGTATGCTTACGTTTGGCAAGCTGCTGACCGGAATCTCGCCTTTTGAGCAGTTTCCGGGGATGTAGCTGTAGTCAGGAGGTCCGGAAAAAGGTTCACATATCTTCATGACTCCTGGCAATTCGTCGCCTAGTTCACTAATTCCTAAGGACCGATAAAACTCGGTTGACTTGGCATTCAACTGCATCACAAGAAAAAAGACTAGAGGTCAAGATAACATTTGGACATTCGAAGCGTCTGTATGTTTTCAAATTAATCAGTAAGTACCTGGGCGAAGAAGTTGTGAATGGTGGAGCCGATCTCCGTCATGAGTTGATCCGAGTATGACGAGTCCATACATGGTAGGATTGTAGCAAGACTGTTGTTTTTGGGATTTTGCACATAATCCTTAAATGCTGAGCAAGTATCCTTGGCAAAACTTCACAGTCAAATGAAAAAAGAAAATTTCTTGAGCGTTTGCATCTGTTCTACGCTTCCTTGCATGGAAACGCCATGGAATTACCACAAAACTTAAGAGAGTTTAGGACCGAGTTCACCACGAAAAAGGCAAAAAGGCAAACGCTTTCTTGTAAATTTTGACAAGATTAGGAAAGCTGCGACAAAATGGAACTTACTAATGACCAAAAGAAGTTACGATCTTAAGCTCAAGGGACAGTTAGCGAAAGCAGAACATCTGTTTACTCACTCGTGGAAGAAGAAATCGAAGCCGGTGATAACCCAGCAAAGAGTTGTTAAGATCCAGCAAAAGAGAATTATCCTGAAAGCGAAAGCAAAAAGTGAAATGAGAGATGATTGATTACAGGTAAACAACCATATGTAGCTAATGAAATTTGCACATAAACTTACATGACGAGTCCTGGATGCCAGTGCAGTAGAAGAAGAACTGAGCGAAAAGGAAGCACCAACTTCATTAGCCAAACAAGAAAGCAAAAGTCAGGAGGAAGAATAGAATCGAGAAAGAAAACATACCGATCGCCCCAGTAAGCAGAACCATGTTGACTGCTACGATCACAATATGTGCAATGTACCTATAAGCACATCGAAATCAAAACAGATGGCATTCAATCGAGAAAATGAGAAGCAGGCATATGAAATTCCATTCTTTCCACATTAGTGTCCCACATGACCATTTTAATGGTTCTCATTTTCAAATAACTTATAACACTCCCCTAAATTTGACTCTGTTACTGCTGTTGGAAGACGTTGGACTCGAAATGAGTAGCATATGCTAGAGGCGAGATGAAAGATGCTTACGAAGTTTGAATTGCCAGATCGATTGAATGGCCGTTCTTTTGGACGAAGTGTTGGATGACCCTCGACTCCTTTCCGAGTTGATGGGTGGTCAAATTCAACTGGAAAGACACAACGGGTTCATAGGGAAGCAATATGTACTCCATTTCCGTCATTGTTGTAATGATTCTTCGGATTATTCGGTGAGCGTCTTGGCCTGCTTTGAGAATGGTTTCTTTCAGCCTCCTCATTCTGTGGTGGGACCTCTGGTTCGCCGCAAGGACGCAACTGCTGGCCACTCTTCAAGAGAATACACACACATAACTTCAGATGAATCGAGTCGATGCTATACATTGCTCATCTGAGTGCACTTTACAGTGGATTGAAGCCAGACTTGCCTACTCCGATTATTCGAGTACTTAGTACCAGATGAAATCAAATATAGTTCTATCTCGATCATTTTAAGTGATCAAATCAACTAATTTGAGAAACAAAGTCATTGCTAAGACCAAATATCATACTAAAGACTAAAATGTGAGAAAATAATGCTGAACAGATAGGGGAGTTACATGGCAAGAAGGGTGAGCAAGAGCACGAGCGAGATTACTATGACTCTTTGGAGATTCGATGGGTCTGTCGAGCTCGAGCTTGCGCCCTTTGAAAGTATGAAGATTCCGAAGCCTAGTCCACTCAACATCCACAACCCGGCAATCGCGTATCCGTGAACTCCTGTAAATGCCGCAGACTGAAAGATGAGCAAAACACAGTCAATCCCCACTTTTTCAATTTCACCTTATTATTTCTTCTCTCATTTCATTTGAAATGACTTATACAAAATCATATGCTGGGCAAACTACTGTTCACGGCGTTAACAAACGCAATGGAGTAACAATTTCCATCTGACATGGAATTTCAAAAGCTTGTAACCCACTGTATCTGTATCTACACGTTTGTTCCAATGGTATGTGTTCAATTTATCCAAGCCACAGTCTCCGAACACTCGAGTAGCGCAAACAAATAGATGCCGAATAGCCTGATCATGCTGAAGTGTTTTTTCTCGAAAATGACTCGACTGAAGAAAGAGCTACGCGTGACGTAAATGTGCACACAGAACTTACAGCCCAATAATGCTTGTTCCGAAGATCGTAACCTCCATGGTAACACTTGAAGCGGCGAGAAGGGTCGGGCTGCCCGCAGCTGCTTCTTTCTCCAGTATTGGGGGATCCGGATGCCAGCGACTGCGGCGAAAACATGGACGTCGAGACCAAGAGGAGGACGAAAGGAACAAGAACCCCATTGCCTTTTGACATGGACTTATTGCATGTATGACGAAGGCCAGTCCTCCGATACGTATTTTCTGTCAAACAGAGCCTATGCTATATGAACGTGATCGAGCACTGGTCATAATCTTTCAGCTTTAACGACAGAGAGAGAGAGGGAGATGATGGGTTTGACTTCCTCACCAAGGTAAGAATAGCTTGTGGCCATGGCTTTGGAGGAATGTACATTGTGTTCAGACGAAGCAAGAAATGTGTGCCAGAGAGAGAGAGAGAGAGAGAGAGAGACTCTATGGGAGAGTAACGAATCCTGAGCCTGTATTCACGGTTCATGCGAACGGGAAGGATCGGTTGACCACCCTTTTGGTTTGCTCTAATTAGACTTGACTGTTGCATTGCCTTTCTTTCTTCTACACGTAAGCCTCACTTTTTGCCTTTTCTTCCTCTCCTCCTTTGGTTTTCCTGCTTTCGTTTTCCCTCATCCCTCCTCTTCTCTTCTCAAACCTTAAGCACGCACGGCCTCCGCGGGAGCGTGACGCGTGCAAAAAAATGCATCAAGATCATTGAAAATGACATTGATTCTACATGCATGTGAAAATTGACAAGATGCATCGAGATTTATGTGAGCTTAATGCTGTCATACTTTTATATATGGAGTTATATAAAGTGGCCAATTTCCTCTCGTTTTTCACCGTCCTCAATCTTCCCTCACATATCACTTTCAAAGTTGTGCATGCACTAATCGGTTCCACACGACGAGTTTCACCGCCACGACGGAGATGATGCTCTCGTCAAGCAATGCCCAGAAATCTAGACAGTCTTTGCTTTGCAAAATGAAGAACACCCACGGCTGCTAGGCCTTTGTCTTCATCTACCAATGAGTTGGAGACGTGTTTGAGAACAGATTACTTCAAACACATCGATAGAATTGGCCAATACAACGTTGGCGTTCTGAAATGTCGGAAGAAATGGTGGAAGAGGGGAGTAACCGGTTTTTCGATTTTTTCCATCATGGCTCGTGATTTACCGACCCCACCGACGACGTCTACGATATCATAGGAGTCCACTTTAATACTAGCCGACTTCTCGTGGAAGGTGATATGTCCAACTTGTCTGCGAAAATCTTAGAAATGGTTGTCGCATGGCATGATTGGTTTTTGCAAGAATTGACTCAAGAGAAGCGTGCCCAATATGAATAAGAAGACAACAATCACACTGTATTATTTGCATCACGGTGAGGGACATGACAGACATCAAATTTTTTTCATATTATTATGGCATTATTATGCGCAATTTTTTTTTTCATATTATCTAAAAATGCGCCTGCTTTCCAATTTCGTTTAATTGCATTAGTGTTTTCATAAAGTTTTCTCAATTAATTTTTTATTTTTATTTTTAATGTTTGAGCTGAAAAAACCTCCGTTGTTTAGGGGCTAAGTTTTCCACGGACTCAAGTCAACAGATCCAAACATGTTATGACTATTTCATATGAGATTCACACGATCAACGACCACGATATGGATCGGATCCGTGTAAGTATTTGCCGTGCTCCAGCGTCGAGAGGCTTGGCATCCCAATCAACTTCTTGGTTTAGGGCAGAGGTGCCCTCCCCCAGGACTTTGCAGTCAGTTTGGAGGATGGCTTTTGTATATCCCTCATTTTCCTCGATGGCTACCTCTACCTCTGCCTCAAGCGGAGATGCCGCCTGAATGAGTAAACCAGCAAGCAAGCAATGGTAAAATACCTGCAAAATGATGTACAACTTAGGAACTAGAGCATGAATATTGGGTAATTGTACTCCTAGAGTGCTTTCTAGGTATCTTCGTTTGTTTAATATGATTGGGATGGTAACATGCGTAATAGTTCAAAGAAAAAAGAAAGGGTTAATACCGCAAAAAATCTCAAATTGGTACACATGTGATAATTTTATCCCAAACTAATTTTTTGACCACCAAAAATCTCAAATTGGTACACCTATGAAAAGTTTATTCTCAATTTATTTCCGTTAAATTTTACTGTCAAATTGTTTTGTTAAATGACACGCGGCAATTAACGGATGTACCAATTTTATGTTTTACCCTCCGTTTGTCATAGGCGTACTAATTTATGATTTTTTGTGGTATTAATTCAATTTAATGGAAACTAACGGAGGGTAAATTTGTCACAAATGTACCAGTTCGGGATTTTTGGTGGTCAAAAAATTAGTTTGGGGTAAATTTGTCACATGTGTACCAGTTTGGGATTTTTCATGATCAAAAAATTAATTTTAAGTAAAATTGTCACGGATATACCAATTTGGAGTTTTTCGTGGTATTAATCCAAAAAGAAATAATATCCATAAAGAATTTTGTTTCGGGCACGCTCATTAAAAACCCAAATAATGAAAATCTATCATTTCCAAATTGTATTAAAAATGAAAACATTGCCTCGTTAGATATACTCATAAATGTCCCTAGATTCTTGTTGACATAATCCATTTATAAACAATAGACAAGTTCAGGTTGTGACTTACCGACCTCGACAATCGAACTTACATTAATGCTGCACTCGGTGTTTGTAATAGGCAGGTAGATAGAATCCATCAATTGCTTGAGTCGACAAGACAGGTTCAGATTTTATGGCTCAAAATTGTGTGATGCTCTTTGTGTAATTCCTACATGACATAACTTGTGGTAATATAAGGTCATTAGGTCACGTTCGGTCCTTTCCTACTCATCTCAATAGTTTTTCATTTGGTTGATAACATTTGAAGTCAATCTCTTCCAAGCAAATATTTCAGTCACCATTGCCACTTCCATTCTTTGCCGCGAGTGCCGTTCTTCCGCCATGGAAGCTTCACCAGGTTTCTCTCGACCTCCTCCTCCACCGCCCAAATTCCAGCCTGATACCGAGAAAATCAAGCGCAAGCTCCTCAAAGATGGAGTTTTCGCGACACCCAGAATCGTCCACAACGTCCGCAAGAAAGCCATCCAGAAGCACAACCGCAGGCAAGACCGCCTCGCCCAACAGGCCCAAGGCCCGCCCTTTTCCGAGACCCAGAAGCGAGAGCTGGCCGAGGAGTCGGACTTCCAGCGTTTGAGGCAGGAGTACAGAGAATTCAACAAGGCCGTGAGGGCGAGGAGCGAGAAGAGCGATGGAGGGTTGATGGTGGGTGTGCCTTGGGAGGGGATGGAGAGGCTCAGGTTGAGGGAGATTGCTGGTGGGAGTGAAGGGTCCGGTGGGAGTAAGCTGAAGAGAGAGAGTTTGAGGGAGCTGGGTGAAATGTTTGAGGAGAGGAGGAAGGAGGAGTTGCACTGGGTTTTGGACGATGACATAGAGTTGGAGGGGATTGTGTTGGAGAGCCAAGGGTCCACGTGGGACCCAGTGAAGAGGAAGACGAGGACTGAGGATGATGCTATTGCTTTTCTTGTCAAAAGGTTTTGAGTTTGTTTTTGCAATTCGTATATCTGAATCTTTTTCTTCATGTTAATTTGAATTGGTTAGTCTAAGGAAGGATATTTCTGTTGTGATGGAGATGTGCGTAATTTCTGGATTGGTTATTATTCCACTTCTAGCTCTTGGATTGGTTTTGAGGTTCCTGAGGGTGTTTTTGGGGTTCAGGTTAGGTGCCAAGGAGATCGAATGGAAGGACTGGAAGTTCTCAAGGATGATGAAGCTATCAGGATTGCAGTTCATGGAAAAGCAGTTGCTCAAGATTTTGCGTGGGCTTGGAAATGATGGGCATTGGAAACAGGCAATAGCGGTTGTTGAATGGGTGTATCATGATAAAGAACGAAGACGTTGGAGGAGCAGGTCATATCTTCTCATTTGTCATTATGATTTGATTGTTTCAGTGGGAGGACAATAAGTTTACATGGCAGAATAATCTTTATTGAATTGTATGTTCTAGTGTATTTCTACATCATTCGCCTTTGATTGTTTAATGCAGTGCTAAATGTTTTAAATTGGAAAGAGGCATCGCCGTTAATTGATGGATTTAAATCCTTCATGTCAAACTTTGTTTTCTTGAGTTATTGTATGAAAATGTTGGAAATTCAGTTGCTAATATCTGAATAAGTAATCAAGTTCCATACTTATAAACAGTAACTGACATTTGCAGATTTGTCCACACAAAACTCCTGGCAGTTCTTGGAAATGCTAGGAGGCCCAAGGAAGCTCTCCATTTCTTCAATCTGATGCGTGTAATTTTCAGCTGCTTTTCTTCTCCAGCATTTGTAATATATAAACTTGCCATGGGACTAATTTTCGAGTGGTGCAGGAAGATTTTCAACTATATCCTGATATGGCCGCATACCACACCATTGCTGTAACCCTTGGCCAAAGTGGTCTTGTCAGAGAATTGATGAACATTGTTGAGTGCATGAGACAGAAGCCTTCAAAGATAATAAGAAATGGGCGCCGGAAGAACTGGGATCCAGTCCTTGAACCTGATGTAGTTGTGTATAACGCTGTAAGTAACTATATCTTTTTCACTCGTTCGACGTATGCAAATTGGCAGTTGATTCTATATTTGACTGGTGGGTGCCAATTTTGTTCAGGTGTTGAATGCCTGTGTTCCATCTCACCAGTGGAAGGGTGTTTCCTGGGTGTTTGAGCAGTTAAGAAAGAGTGGACTGAAACCCAATGGAGCAACATATGGACTGGCAATGGAGGTAATATGTTTTCTAATTGATAGCATTATATATAGATTGAGGGGCACATATCTCTTGCCGTCGTGGTAATGGGGTTTTGGGGTGGGGAGTTCTGGGGTCTGTCAAAATAGAAATGTAAAGGGAGAAAATATCTGACTCCTGCCCAGGTGGGTGCTACTGTGGATTGGCTGTCAATAACACATGTAGATAAATTTTGTAACTTAGGACCAGAGGACCGGTTGGTGGTCCAATATATAATGGTCACATAAGAGTGAGCTAGTTCCTCCTTGGTTCGGAGTGAAATATTATCAGAGAAAGGAACACATATATTATCACTCTTCCAACCAACCAAAGAACCATTTGAACTTCACCAGGCTGACAACTCCTTTACCTATCCCAACTATGAAGAAGACCGAGAGGAGCTTGAAAGCACTTGAACCAGTAAAACGTAAAGTATGAAAGAATAGGAAAATGTAACCAACATAATGTCGCAGTTACTATGTTGGAGTCTGTTGCTATTTATTTTTGTATTTTGTTACTGTGGGCAATAGATTTTTATTTTGGCGGATTCTCTTAGCTACCGGCAGTTCTAGGGGGAATTGCTGTTGC